TTTTTAGTTTGAACCTGCTCCCTCAATTACAAGTTAGTTAATCCACTTGCCAGCTAAGTATTTCTACTTGATGTCTGCTGTGTTCCCTCATGTTAAATGTCCTAATGGAACTTTTCTGCTCGCTATCTGGTCCTTTACAAGAAAGTATGTGATACCAACATTGGTTAAGTTGTGGAGATTGAATATTTAGAAGGTTACTCTCATCCCACATTTTTTCTTGTCTCTCACATCCATTTCATCAGCAAGCTCTGTGTTCTCCCAAATGTAGCCTGTATCTCTTCGTTTATGACCATTTTTATCATCATTACCTTGTGGTCTTTGGCTCTGAAATAATTTCTTTTAACTCTTCAAACTTCCTTCACACTGCATTTCTAGCAACCTTCAAAGTGTAAATCAAATCAGTTATGTTTCTTAGCTACTCATGTCTTTGAAATACAGTTCTATTGCACTTAGACTTAAATCCAGATGCTTCTGAAGCTTTCAAAACCCAACAGGGTTTTTCTTCTTCCCCTCAATCACTGCTGTCTGGTTAGTCTGACTTGTTATTCCTAGAACATGTCAGGATTGTTCTCACTATCTAGAATTGTCCATCTTCATACTTTTGAAACGCTGGTTTTAGGTAGCACTTCTTAAAAAGATTTTCTGTGACTACAGAATAAAAATGCTTTCCTGTTTCTATTATCCTGATGTTCCCTTCTTTATTTCCTTATAACATTTGCCGTATGTCTCTTTCCGTAGTTTCTTAGAAGCTAAACTCTTGTCTTTCTTGTTCTGTGCCTTGTTTCCAGTACTTGGAATGACACCTGGGTTGTAGTAGATGCTCAGAAATTATTTTGTGGAATGCATGAATATTTATGGAGCTAGATTAAATTAGAACTGCTAAATGGAACAGATTGCCTCGGGAGGTAGTACATTTCCATCTTTGGAAGCACTCAGGGAGACACAAGATTCTTTATGAAGGAGGTTTTTTTTAAGAGATACCATTCTTTGCCTTTTCTGTTCCCAGTGTGTCTGAGGGATATGACACTTTTATCAGTACCACAGGATCTGAAGTGTTTGCAGTTCTTCTGGAGATGGCTTACTACATCCTGTGAAGAGTGAATATACTTTGGAAACAGAAGCATCAGTGGAGCGTTGGTCTCTGTATTTGGGTCATTTTCTGTCCTGGTGGGATTCTGACTCTTATGTTGACATTGTGATAACTTGTGTTACTGTGATCATGATGAGGATGACCTCCATGGCTTTACCTGCCTTTACAGTGATTTTTTTCTTCTGTTTTCTAATTTGTCCCCCAAATGCTTGGATCTTTTTTCTTTTTTATTTTTTTGGCAGAACTGGGGTTTGAACTCTTGCCCTTGTGCTTGCCAGGGAAGCACTTATTCCACTGAGCCATCTCTCCGGCCCCGTTGTCCCCCAAATGCGACTTTACCATTTGCTCTCCTTTCCAGTTATCAGTAAGTTTAGTGTCTGTTTCTCCAGATGTTTTAGTTTCCAACTAAAACAAATGACCAAAGAATTAAATATATCATTATAAATATTTTGAAGCAGAGAGATATAGAGTGGAATTATTATTTTGCCTTTTTTTTACTACTTACTTGCCTTACTTTTTACTACTTACTTAGTAAAAGTAAGTAGTTTTCTTTTGGCGTATAAGAATTTACCATATTTTCTAAAATAATTGCATGGGATTTCATTGCATTATCATTTTTTTCCAACCTAATAAACATGCAGTTATAATGCTCTATAAGATACATTCCTTAATCAAAAGGTAAAAACACTTTAAATATTAATGGATATTGCTTGTTGCTTTTCCAATAGAGAAGATAATCTGTACTTCCCACAGCAGGATTTTAATTGGTTGCCCTCGCTGCAGTCAGTGTCCTTCCTGTTCAGGAGGGGCAGGGTGCCTGAAGAGACCAGTGCCACCCATAGTGTTTACATGTTTAAGCATAATGATAACAGTTTCCATGGTGATGGACTCTGGAGAAATAGTCTGATACTTTTCTAACCTTTAGAATAGATTTTAAATCATTTCTCCTTTTTTGTTAGTGATAGAATGGATGTTAGCCTGAAGCAAATCTGAGTTTTCTTAAGTGATGTTATTTATCACAGGCATTGGGTATTTCAGAAAAATGTACTCCTGAAGCTTCCTTTTCGTGTCATTGGTGACTGCTGCTAATGTGCCATGTAAGGCTATATAAATGTGGCAGTGGTGAGTTCTGTCAGATTACATGACTTGGGTCTCCTGTCTTTTTTGAGATAAGTGCTGGGTAGAACTTCAGATCAAAGATAGTTTATCTACAACTATGAAGTCCTTAGGGATGCACATTCATAGTATCTTGTTGTCCAGTGTGTATATATTTTATTAGAAAATAATTCATTTTTTTGCCATTCAGCCCAGCTTTTTTGTTATTGTTTCAGTTATATTTCCATCTAATGTGTTGGCAAAGATGGTTTATTTTAAAGAAGTATTTATATTAGGAGATGAGGGTTTTATAAAAATTTTTAAATTTTTTTTTGAACTAAGGCTTTCATTGATATTTGTTTATTTTTCAGATAGTGTCTTGCTATGTAGTTCAGACTGGGCTTGAACTTACACTGTGATCTACCTGCTTCAGCCTTGCCCATGGACATGTTGCTCTAAACCTAAACTCAGAAAGCACTGACTCTCACTGCAGGTAGAAATCTGGCAGTGGGCTGGTGTCTCATATGTGAGCTCATCCCGACACCTGCTGTGGCCTGGTTGTTGCATAGGCCAGCCCAGTTCATCCACAGCTGGATGAACACATGAGGTTTCTTATGGGCCCGAGTTAGAAATAGGTACATCTTTCTTAGGAAGAATGTCTTGGTTTCATTCCCCTTTATGAAATGAAGGCTACTGAAAAACAGGAAAGGTTTGGGAGGCAAATGCTTAGGGAGTTTGTAACAAGAGACCACTGTGCTCTTGAAGAACAATCAGAATGGCCAGAACTCACTAGTGCCTGCTGGGGTAGCAGAGCTAGAAAAATGGTGGTTTAATTAAGACAAAGCCAGGGAGGGCCTGGGGAGACAGCTCAGTAGAATAAGCGCTTGTCTGGTAAGCACAGGGTCCTGAGTTCAATGCCCAGTACCGCACCAAAAAAAAAAAAAAAAAAAAAAAAAAAGGCAAAGCCATAACACTCAACATATAGTGATTACGAAAACAAGAACAGTTTTTGGAAGGTTATTGATACAAAAAGACAGATGGCCCCATTTGTTACAGTATCCATCACATCACATTTGTGGTCTAGTTTAAAAATGAGTGAAGCAACAAAGGAATGAATGAAAGACACAGGAGCCTAGAGGAAAACAGAGTTTACAATATTTGTACACATTAGCCCTTCTTTTTTCCTGTGACTCACACCCAGGGCCTTGAGCATACCAGGCAAGTGCTCCAGCTTGGGGTGACATCTGGGTGTGCTTGGAATCACCTGTGGTTAACCTGTGTTCATTGTAGCATTCTCATTAACTTCATTTATTTACTTTGTTTGTTTGTTTTTTTGAGAGAGTGTCTTGCTGTGTAGTTCAGGCTGGCCTCAAACTCATGGTGATCCTTTCACCTCAGCCTGCTGGGTGCTAGGATTACGGATGGGCATTACTATGCCTGGTGTCTCCACTCAACTTCATTGTCTTACCTTTTGGCTTCAGGTGGGACTTCAGAAAAAAACTATCAAAAAAACCAGTTGTGACAGTCTTTCCTATAAGAGGGTTAAAGGGTTTTGTTTCTTGTTTATGTATTTTTCTTTGCTTAAGTCTCTGGTTTTTAGTGCAACTCTTGAGAAATCTCCTTTTCCCCCTGAATTTTCCTTTTATAAATATTTAAGAGCGCAAAACTTGTGTATAGCTTGGTGAGTTTGGTATACTGTGAGACCATTATATAAAATAAAATAAATTAGGGGGCCGGGGAGACGGCTCAGTAGAATAAGCGCTTCCCTGGCAAGCGCAAGGGTCTGAGTTCAATCCCCGGTTCTGAAACAAAACAATAACAAAAAAACAAAAACAAAAAAAATAAAATAAAATAAATTAGATATAGAGACTAAAACTATTTCATTATTAAGGGCTGGCGAGATAACTTAGTGTACTGAGTGCCTGCTGAGGCAAGCGCAGGAAACGGGATTTGATCCCTAGTACCACATACCTCCCTGGCCCTGCCCTTGGGCACACTGAGCATGGTGGCACATGCCTGTAATCCCAGTATGGGGGAGGCTGAAAACAGGAGGATCACTATGAGTCTGAGCTGCATAGTGAGATCCTGTACCAAATTCAAATTAAAAAAAAAAAATAGCATCATTTCCCTTATGAGAGTTGCAAATTATAAATAGAACAAAATAAAAGATAGAGAACAGGTAGTAGAGAAATCTTCAGTGGAAAGGGGAATAAAAGATGGAGGGAGGAGGTAGGGAGGGAAAGGAAAGGGGTGAAAGAAAGAATTGGGGCTAAAATGGAGTTAGAGCTTATGCACATAGGAAGGAGACCAAAAGATGGAAGGAGCAGGGAGGACGAGGGTGGTATCAGTCAAAAAAATAAAATGTGTTATCTACAGGTAACACCCCCCCATAAGTGCAATTGTTGTATACTGCACATATGTATTAATAAAAATTAAAAAAAATTAATTCACGTCTGCTATCTCAATCAAGATACAGAATGTTGGGTGGGGAAGATGGCTTGGCAGTCTAAGTGCCTGCCGGTACTGCATGCTGTGCCAGCCACTGAGACCGGGCGTGGTGGCACATGCCTGTAATCCCAGCTCTAGGAAGGCTGAGACAGGAGGATCACTAAGAGTCCAAGCTGTGTAGCAAGACTGTGTACCAAATAAATAAATAAATAAAAAACACATACAGAATATTGCTAGTACACTAGAAGGCACCTTGTACATATGCATTCAAGGTACAGTGGTTGCGTCCTAGGATATGTGTGTGCTCATTAGCAGTTGTATTTGTTTTCTACTTCCAGATAATTTTTGTGTTTTACTCACTGTACAGTGTGCCTGAGAATACAGATCAACCCACAGAACAAAGCGGATTTCCAAGGCATATCCCCAGAGAGAGCCTTTGCTGATTTTCTCTTTGCCAGCACTATCCTGCACCTTGTCGTCATGAACTTCGTTGGCTGAATTGTTCCCATGCTTCATCGAGGAGAAGACTGGAAAAATGTAAGTTATGATCATAGCCTTTGTCCTATTATATTGATTTTAGAAAGAAAAATTAGGTGGGGCTGGTTTTGATCCTGTTTAGTAGGGTTCCCATATTAACAGCTAAGACGCTTGCAGAATTTTCCATTGCTCTTCAGAGTTTGCATCAGTATAATCCAACAGTGCTATTGTTGTTGGTCATTGTCTTCTTAATTGTTTTGTAAATGTGGTAATCACTAAGAACAACTCAAAGTTTTAAAGAACATGAATTGCGGGTTTTACCTTTAGATTTATTTGCTTTTGAGACTAGGGAGATAGCTCAGTGGAATAAGTGCTTGCCTGGCAAGCTCAAGGTCCTGAGTTCAATCCCTGGTTCTGCCAAAAAAAAAAATCCAGTAGCCTTTCTCAGTCATATTGTTAATGTGGTTGCAGAGGTGGTATGTTTGTCAATAATATGCTTGGAAAAGAATATGCCAGAACTAACCTCTTCCTATCACTGTGTGGAGAGCTATCACTTTTTACTAATCCAGAGATGTCGAACGTAAGAGTTATAGCAACCATGTGCAAAGTGCTATAGTGACAGTGACTGAGCTTCATTTTGTGGCATGAATTAATCAGTTACTTATAATATTACATAAAATCTTTGCCTTTGATACTACCTCAAGAACATTTCTGTTAGTTCAGGAAAGATTTTATTTTTAGTAGTAGTAAATTGGCAGAGATGGCTTATTTCACTGAAAAAATTTGAGTGAACCGCCTCTTTCTGCTATACTAATACAATTTAACTCCTCAGAACCTGGTTAAAATTTGAATGTTCCTTCCCTTGTCTCTCCCTATCTTTTGCTAGTTACTGGGAATGGCTTGTTCCTTGGATTCTAAAGAAAGGAAAATGTGGCTCCTGCTTTTAAAAGTGGACAGTCCAGTAGAGGAGAAGACATGCAAACATGACAATTAAAATACAGCACTGTCAGAGCGTCACCCAAGAGCTGAACTACATGTTGTTGGAAACAGAGCTGGGAAGGACTGTACTCTCTGGGAGCTAGTGGTCGTTCAGTTGTGTGCCCAGTGGACAACAGCTCTTACCGGGGCCTAGTGAACTATTCCAATAGGTAGCCTTGAGTGTGGGCAGAAAGCTGACCCGTGTTGAACTCATGCTTGTAAATATTGTAACTCTTGGCCTCTGACAGAGACTGTTGGAAAGGCCTTAAGGCTTCTGATGGTCTTTTTCTACCCTCTGGAGTTCTTTTAGATGAATCATGATGTATACTTAGCAAGGGGACAGAAAACATTTCAAGGATAGTCTTGCCTCAGAGAGATAGCAAATCATGGAAAATTATTTCCTGTGATCATCATGATTGGAGGAGGACTGTACTGCAGAGACTTTAGTAAATGACAAAAAAACACAACAAAGCCGCCTCAGCAGAAACTGTGCTGCAGACCATATTAATAACCTAGGACCACCTGTTCAGCTGGGAATTATGGCCCAAGGAGCAACAAAATCTTCCAGTCCCAGATTGCAGTGCTAAATCATCTCATAGAAAGCAGTATGTTTACAGAAAAATACTCTCTGGGGGATTGCCCAGAGTGTTTTCCTTCATTTGACATATACTACCCTGTCCTGCTCTTAGTGTTTTAAATATACATTTATTTGCCCCTTTTATGTAGTTTTAACTCAACTATATGTACAGTGTACTGAAACATGTTAGAAATAGGTTCCAAGTGAATTCTCAATATTTATACCAATTCAGAAGATAGAATAAAACAGATTCAATATTCTCCATATTTTTCAACTGTTTGCTATAAAAAATAAATATTTGTAGCATAACTAATCTTGCATGAATTTGAGGGTGCCATTTAAAGCTAGGGGCACCTGGCATGGTGGCACACAACTGTACCCGAGCACTTGGGAGGCGGAGGCAGGAGGATTGTTGTGAGTTTGAGACTAGCCTGGGCTATAAAGGCCATCATAGCAAGACCATGTTTAACAAAACAAACAAGCAAAACCCAACAACAACAACAACAACAAAAAGGAGGGACTATGCTAGAAAAGGCAGATCAGAAGAAAATGATATTTAACCAAGAATAAATCTAGAGGAAAAAATAGATAGGAGTGTTGGTGGCATGTCTTGCTTTTAAGTGATTCTTGTGTGGTATTATTTCATTTAAAATTAACTTCATAAGCATAGGCTTGCTGTTGTTACTTATAGCCAGGAACTGAGGTTTTGGAGAGTTTTGCTGGAAGTCTTTTTTTTTTTTTTTCCGGAACTGGGGATTGAACTCAGGCCCTTGCGCTTGCCAGGCAAGCGCTTATTCTACTGAGCTATCTCTCTGGCCCCTGGAAATCTTTTTGATAAATCTCCTAATTCAATCCAGCTTCCAAAACCAACTATTTCTGTACTCTATTTTTGCTCAAAGTTGTTTACCATATGTATAACATTATTTTTATTATGAGAATTTCATAAAGACAAAGAAAGCATAGATAACAACAGCCATGCCTGTATCTACCTGGAGTCGACAGATTTTGAACAGATTAAACATTATAGAGCTGGCTAATGTTGCATTTGAGTCTCTCTCTAGTCTCATTTACTTTCTTGTAAGATTTGAATTTCATGGCAGTTTTGTTCAGCCAGTACTACTGTAATATGCAGATCTAGTATTACAACCCTTCCTCCCTTTTCTCTGTCTTTCTTGTGTTTAGTACAGGGTCTTACTATGCAGGTCATACTTATAATGATCCTCTTGTTTCCAGCCTCCCCAGCGCTGGGATTGCAGACATGTGCCACCATGCCCAGTCTCGGTGGTCCAGCACTGGTGTGGCCTGTGGTTCGGGGGATTGAACCCCAGTCCCTGTGCTTGCCTAAGCAGGCGCTTACTCTGCTGAGCTATCTTGCCAGCCTAAAACTCAGATTATTATTAAAGATGTATGTGCTTTTTCTAATTATTTCCTGTTTTGTGCTTACATGTTTACATGAAATTTTTAAAAATTATGTCAGTCTATCAGATTTCTGAAAGGACATGAGAAAACAGGGACAGAAGTACACTGGGTCATAGCTGGAAAATTAAAGGTCCTGATACTTAATCCCTGGATCAGAGGGAAGGTGAGCAGGACACAGAGGGACAAAGCTCCCAAGGTGAAGCATTTTGTTTTTATAATGGACCTGTCCTTTAAATGCAGTGTTCAGACTTGGTGTAGTGGCACATGCCTATAATCCCAATAATCAGGAGGCAGAGGCAGGAGGATCCTTGTGGTTCTACGTAGTTCACTGCTAGCCTAAACTACATAGCAAGACTTTCTCAAACAAAAGCACTTCCCCCAAAAAATTCAGCAAAATTCAACATTCAGTCCTAACTAAATAAAGCAAGGAGGCTACTGGGTTGGGCAGAGCATTTTAACTGTGACAGCCAGTACTGTTAACAAATTTGCAATTGTGTTGACTTTTTGAATTTATCAAAGTTAATTTAGAGAGTAAAGGGAATTTTAGTGTTATTCTTTAAGCTGTACTGCCACCTAGTGGGTTGTGCTTTTCTTTTGCTAAGAGAATGTACTACCACCAGGCCAAAGACAAGCTGTTTTGGGGGCGGGAAAAAAAAACCCACTGATTTTTGTGGTAAAGCCTACTTTCTTTCCTGTCATAGGAGGGCAGCAGAGGTATGGGTAAATTTAAGAGCTGAGTCAGGGGTTGTTTTACATCCTGACCAGATGTGGGTGGTGTTGAGCTAGGGACAGTAGGGCACAGAAGCCTGGAGTGTCCTACACGGTCAGGCTCATAGGAGTCACTTACTTCTACATTTATTTTACCTACATTGAAATATGTGATTTTTTTTTTAAACCATTCATCCTGGGAAGGTAGACAAGAGGTAATTGAACTTCGGTGAACTTTAAGTTGACTTATGTAGTCCTGAACTAATAGTGGACTGTCTCGGACTTTAATAATGGTCATTTGGACTCCAGGCTTTGACATTTCTTGCTCTGTTATATTCATGGATGTCTGCATGGTGGATGTATACATCTCCCAATTAGAAGGTTTTTTTTTTTTTTTTTGGCAGAACCAGGGATTGAACTCAGGCCCTTGCGCTTGCCAGGGAAGCGCTTATTCCACTGAGCCATCTCCACAGCCCCTAGAAGGTTTTATTAATAGTATTAAACTTGCTTTTTTAAACAATGGAGCTGATTTAAGAGATGTTAATAGAGTGTCTCAGATGTTTCTGCCAAGTTTCTTAATATGTACAATAGAAATGCAGAATAGTAAAAATCAGGAGACTTGACTTTATCTGGCAAGAGTGACCCAGGACCTCTATCTTCCATGGTGTGGAATAGTGTGGGTCTACTTTGCCCAATATGATAACCCCAGCCATATGTGGTCACTGAACATTTGCAATGTGGCTGAGTGACTAAGGCTTTCATTTCATTACATTTTAACTAGTTAACAACCTATGGCTCATGCTGTGGTGTTGGGCAGCATGCTGCTGGCTGGACAGCACACTTTGTCAACTTTAGTTTCCCTATCTCTAAAATGAGGTGATCAGTGTAGCTGATCTCTGAAGCTCCTTCCATTTTTAGAATCATAGGACCTGACCTGTACCTTCTAAAATTATAGTAATTCACTGTGACCTCAGAACACTCTCTGAGTTGTATTATCTCCAATTTGTGTTTTAATTGGGTATCCAGGATCCAGTGAGATAGATTTAGAAAATCAACATTTGATCATATCTACCCTGTCCTACTGTTAGTAGAGAAAGTGCCAGAGAAGAATACACATTCCAAATAGAAATGACTCTGTCTAACATTATAATTTGTCTATACAAAGAATACTTTTTCTAACAGTTCTTTGTGTTGTTATTTGCTTTCTTTTATGATTAAAACAGAGTGATTAAGTGCCACTGTCTTTTCTGCATGGTGAGATAGACTGAGAAATCCTGTTATTTTTGACAGGATTTAACAGAAGGTATTATATTTTTTGCATGTCTCTGTATCAGGAGATTTTATTAGTCAGCTTCACAAAACTTTTATCCTCTGGTTAACACTCAAAACCATTCTTTTAACTGTTCTTTTCAACTTTGTTGAACTGACATCACAGAGTCCTAGAACTTAAGCTCTTGGAATAGTATCTGGTAAATATATCTTTGCCTTGAAAGAAGCGAGCAGATCTTTGTCAATAAATTCTTACTCTCATGAGTCAGTTTTGCCTTCCACGTGGACCAGCTTCAACATCTTAGATTTTTAAAATGTTTTAATATTATAAAATCCTGAAATAGACTTTTATATTAAACTTGAATTTCTAATTCTGAATGTGTCAAAGCTTTTTTTTTTTTTTTTTTTTAACTGAAGTAGCCTCTCTTACCATTAGAACTGATGGCTGCTAGAATGGATGCTATATTGGTCCATAGTCTACTGGCATTATTTGCTTTAACAAATTTGACAGAACAGATGAGTTCTGATAGGCCTATTTAATCTTATTTATCACTATGAACACTTTACTCAATGATTTTGCTTTTCTTTTATACATTTTCCACGATTCTACTGATATAAGAATGTTCTGCAGTTATATAGCATCTCTTTAAATGCAGTGTTAGTGAAAAACATTATGGTTAGAAGTTTAAAATCTTTAAAATCTGATGCTAGAATATCTAGGTTACTTGAATCATTACACAAAATAAGATGGTGTCTTTTTACCTACTTACATAGGTAGGCTTTTTCTTCTGAAAGGTAGCATTTCCCAATCTTTTTTTCTAGTCGTGGCATCCATAGAATATCACAGTGTGTTTATGACAGATGGGGAAAGGCTGGCTGCTTCTGGTGGGGAGTGTTGGTGCCTCCAGGGCCATGGTTCCTCCAGGGCCATGGTGCAGTCCTTTAGGTGGAGGTGAGAGGAGGCCTACATGGCTCCCTGGGAAGGAGCTAGCTCATATTTTTATAGGTTCCAGTTTCACATGGCTCTAGCAGCAATGTAGCCACTTCTCTTGGGGTTATTTTGCACCTTCTTACCAAAGCTAATCTTTAAACCAAAACTAAATTAAGCTGGGTACAGTGGTGCTTGTCTGTAATCCCAGCTACACAGAAGACCGAGGCAGGAGGATCCAAAGTTTGAGGCCAGCTGGGGAGAAAAAAGGTATGTGTATGTAGCTCAGTGGTAGAGTGCTCACTTAGAATGAATGCATAGGTCCTTTGGTTTGATCGCTAGTACCACAAAAGCAACAACCAAAAAAGCCAAAAAGCTCCAACCAGTAATAACTAAATTATTTCTTCTGTTGCCCGCTTCCCCCTGTTCCTTTGGTCTTTCATTAAATCTGAGGTTGAGAATTTTTCTCTGTTTTGTTCTTGTATCCTTTCTCTACATTACTGCCTTATTTTAGATACCAAAAAGTTCTGGAAAAACTGCAACCCCTTCACCTCAAAGAGTTGGTGGACCAGGAAGTCAGAGTGACTTCTGTAGTCATATAGATCACTGATGATAGAGCCAGTGTTAGAACTTGAATTTCTCAGTTCCTAGTCAGTTTTGTCTTGGTGGGTTCAGAGTTTAGGTCTGAACATTATCATCATCACTATCATCAGCATTGTTATTGCCATCATCACTACCACCATTATCACTGTGCTGGGGATGGAGTGCAGGGCCTCCACACTGAGCTATCTCCTACGGCTGTATTTTTTTAAATTTTGAGGTAGGTCCTATTGATTTGCTTAATTACCTATGCTGCGCTCAAATTCACCATCTTCCTGCCTCAGCCTCTGAGAATTCTAGGATTACACTTACGCATCATCAAACCTGACTTGAACATTATTTTATTTTTTAATTAATTAATAAATTAATTGGTATGGGGTCTTGCTATGCAGCTTAGATGCATAGTGAGCCTCCTGTCTCAGCCTCCCCAGTGCTAGGATTATAAGTGTGTGCCATCATGGTTTCGGTGGTTAGCTGGCATAGCCTGCGGTACCAGGGATCAAACTTGGGTCCTTACACTTGCCATGCATGTGCTTAGACCATCAGGCTATCTCCCCAGCCCTACAACATTATTTTTTTAGGTAATACTTTGATTAAAATATTTTGTGGAAAGTACCCCTTTGTGGATGCTGTTCTAATCTGTCTTAAATACTGTTCTCAATTTAAGAACCCTGTAACTGTTTTGGGAGTTTAGAGTTTAGATCAAAGGATTTGGGGTCCTGTCTGCAGTATCATAAACATTTTATCTTTCTTTTTCTTCCCCCCCTTTTTTTTTTTAGGTTCACTTTTTGATGTCCCCTGGATATGATTTCTTGAGATGGCAGCTTGTTGGACACATGGATGTTCAGATTTGTACTCACTGTCAACCTTGGTTGGTGTGTAGGTGGAAAGCCCAGAGAAGTTCACCTTGTGTCAGACCAGCTTTGTGATGAATGTTAGCATGACTTTTGCCTTTCATTAAGTGTTACCTTTTACCCTCCAAATTAAAAATTAATGCCACTCTTCTCTTTGCCTCTGATTTTATCTATCTATTTATTTATTTGATACAGGGTCTTACTATGCAGTTCAGACTCATAGTGATCCTCCTGTCTCAGCCTCCGTGGTGCTGGGATTACTGGGATTACAGGCTTATACCACCACATCCAGTTTGGGGGCTGGCATGGCATGTGGTACTAGGAAGGCACTTAGACTGCTGAGCTATCTCCTCAGCCCCTACTTTTTTTTTTTTTATGGTAGTGAAATCATTTTTCCCTTCATATTGGGTGTGCTAATAAAATAAACTGTTGAGTTGATAATTTACAGTGATGGACCTAGATCCTTGTTTTTATTACATATTTGAAGTTAGTGACCAGTTAGTGCTGTGACCTGAGGACAGTAGTGATGAGCCCATGGCACATGTGTTGTTTTTCTTTTAAGACAAATATGTTAATGTATGAGTTGGATTTTCTGGACTGAAACCCCAGTGTTCAGGTTTAAATCCAGTGTTGGCACTTTGTGATAAATAAGGGGGTTTTGGGTTGCAGATTGGGCACTCATCTAAAAAGTTCACCATCACTGCCCCTTGTCCTTTCCCAGGGAGGTAATCCTTTGCTAGTCCTTCGGTTGTTGCCACCACAGGTGGGCCTGCTCTTCTGACAGTGTATGCCTGAAACTACCATTAAGTGCTAGGTTAGGAATTGACGTAGTGTGTGCGTTCATGTTTACATTTGTTTCAGCGTGCTTTACTGTTAAAAGTGAGTCTTTTCACTGAATTTGAGTTGTGTAGTGAGACCCTGTACCAAATACATAAAATGGAAAAAAAAAGCTTTGTGGATTTTTTTTTTTTTTAATTTTTAAACATTGTCTAGTTATGTAGTGTGGACTGGTGATGAACTCAGTATGTGGCCCAAGCTGGCCTCAAACTCGCAGTGATCCCTGCCTCAGCCTCCCAAAGTGCTGAGGTTACAGGTGTGAGCCGCCATGCCTGGCCCGACATATGGTCTCTTTATAGGCAGTGTGAGCAAGGGCAAAAGTGGGAATTGTGTGCATGTTGTTTTGTAACATGAAGTTCTGCAGAGTACCTTCACAAATAGCTTTATTCTTGCAGTTATCTCAGAGATAACAGTCCTCATTGGATAGATGAAGATATTGATATAGTTTAGATTTCCAATAGTTTTAAGATCAGAGTTCATGACAAAGGTTGGGTGGAGCCAGGTGTGGTAAGTCACTCCTGGAACCCTGTCTATATGGAGGCTGGTCAGGGCAACTTGGTAAGACACCAAGGACTTAACAAAGAGAAAAGGACTTTCTCTTATTGCCAATAAGAGAAAAGGTTACTGGCAGAGCAGTTACCTAGCATGTATGAAACCCCAGCATAGGTGTGGAGGGAACTGAGGTATAATACAGGTCACACTTACAAAACGTGTATCATGAGCAACCCTATTTCCATCATGTGTGGTGTACATAATTGCTACATATGGGATACAAATTACATTGATAGTTGTGCTTTTTGTATAGAGCTGACTACTCAGGTTCTCTAGCTTAATTGCATATTAGCATAATCTGAGGAATTTAAAAGCAAAATTCTAATGCCTGAGTCATACCAGACCAATTTAATATTTGGGATGGGAACTATAGCTGAACCACCCAAGTGATTCCAGTATTCAGCCACCTGAGGAAGCAGGGCCCTGGATTCCTGCCCCTCAGAATGTAGTCACTGATAAGAAGTACTAACATCCTGTAACTTACTTGGAAAGGATACACCCAGTCCTCACCCCAAAACTACAGAAGCAGAATCTTAATAATTAAGTCCCCAGGTCATTCATGAGCACCGGCAAAGTCTTTGCACTGATGTATAGCAGTGTTTTTCAAATTTTGGTGTACTTTGCAGTTACCTTCAAACTTGGTAAAAAGCTTGGACCCCTGTTCTTCATAGCTGTCTACTCAACACCCAAGTCAGAGAATGGCCTAGAGGTGTCAGCGAGCTTTCTCTTGTTCCCAGGATAGCTCAGAAAATGGCTGTGGGCTTGTGGGCCATAGCTTACCAACAACAGGGATCCATGCACAAAGATCATGACTGAGCAGTTCAATTTGCTTTAAAACACGTACAGATCTTGTATAGCTTTATTAGGAGACCTCTGGATTATTTTTATCCTTGATTGGATAAGTATTTCAGATAAAAGCATTTGAATGTCAAGACAAATGGGCTAAACACTGGGAAAGATAATCACTTTATCAGAGAAGGCATTGCAATTTTCAGAGCCTTTAGTATAAAGATTTAAATTTTTGACAATGATCTTGAGGGACATGGGATGGATACTAAGTTCCCAAATACCAGATTTTTTTTTTTCTTTTTTTAAAAAAATGTATTTGGTGGGACCGGGAAGATGGCTCAGTAGAATAAGCGCTTGCCTGGCAAGCGCAAGGGCCTGAGTTCAATCCCCGGTTCCAAAAAAAAAGTATTTGGTACAGGGTCTCACTATGGAGCTGAGACTCGTAGTGATCCTTCTGTTTTCAGCCTCCCCAGCACTGGGATCACAGGCATGCGCCACCATGCCAGGTCTTGGTCACTGGCTCAGTGTACCTGGCTGCAGGGCCAGGGATTGAACCCTGGTCCCTGCACTTGCCTAGGCAGGCACTTAGTCTGCTGAGCTATCTCACTGAGCCACAAGATTGTCTTTGAGATTGAGATTTGTCCAAACCAGCCACCATCCATGGCAAATTCATCTTTGATATATTTTATCACCATTTGCAACTGGACAAAACCCTGCTGATTGCTTTTGGAATCTTACCATGCGAGATTTGGTTAAAGCCTTATTGTGAGTGACTACTTGATTCCTAGGCCTCAGCTGACTTGCTTTATAGTTCTTATGCTCAGAAAACTCAGCTGAGGGACTTTCTTCAAGCTCGCAGAGCTGTTACTCCCCTCCCCCAGTTAGGTTTCCTGTTCTTAGCTGTTTTCTCGTCTGAAGTATGCTGAAGGAGCTGGGTTTGTAGTAGGTGGTGGTCTAGCCTCTCGTTTCCTGCTGCCTCCAGCTCAACACCTCTATGGCGTGGTTTATTTTTATTTTCCCTGCTCTAGTGAGGCCGGAAGCCATTTACCACAGCCTCTGTATTTTGTCTGCACCCTGCCATTCTTTGCAGTGGTGGGAAGCCCAGCCCTGAGTCCCTCCTGCCCACACACTTCCTGTCCCCTATCACATGGAAACCATCGCTCATGTTTGCTTCTCTTAGCAGCCTATACATTTGGCCTCTTTGATCACATCCTTTCTTCTTGAGTTTCAAAACACTTTTGTTATGGTTGGAAAATACGTGGGAGGGGTGGAGGTCTGGGCCCTGGCTTTGGAGGCTCAGGAAGGGACACTGGTCAGTTACAGGAGCTGGGAGCCCTGTGCAAGTGGCATGACCCTGGCTGTCTTCTGTCTTTGTTGGTGGGGTGTGACTGGAGTCTGAGCGTCTAAGTGAGAGCTCTATGACTTTAAAAGCTACAGATAACTTAAAAAATTTAAACAATACAAAATACGGGTTTCTTTGGGGGGAGGAAAAGTTCCTTGAACAAGGATCTTAAGTGAGGGGGTAAAACAAGTGAGATGAAGGTTATGGAGGATCAGACAAAAAGTATTTGTGTTTACACTGAATTTATAGGTAGGCCCGAACTCCTGTAAGACTTCTTTGCATGGGATAAAGGAGTATTTTCAAACCACCAGAGAGGCAGCCTGGTGCTGCAGAAAGCCCTTTGCGTGATCTTAAAGTGTTGATTTAAGGACCAGTTCTGCTACTTCCTATCTGTTGACCTTTTGTCTCAAAAATTTAGCAAATAATTAATTAGGCACCAAGGCTCTGTCTAGGTAGTGATTTGGATTATAAAAGATAAGACACAGCCCTTGCTGTCCGGAAGTGAGCTCTCAGGTCTGGAATTGTATTAAGGGCCCTTCTGTTATTTATATTTTTCTATAATCCCATGAGGTATTTTCTTTCCAAATGAGAAGATGGAACCTCAGTTTGCCAGTGTTTGGATCTGAATCTTCTTTCTATCTGGTTTAAAGCATTTGGGTTAGGTCTTGGATAGATAAATAACGACCACCATGGGGATGATAGCATTTGATGCTGTTGTCCTAATGTGAGGGAGAGTACCGTGTCCGTGTACCTTCTCTAAATGTGTTAATATGCTTTTTCTCCTCTGCCAATTCCCTCTGCCATGCTGCCCTGCCTTGGAGCCAGTCAACCATGAGCTGAAGACTATGAGCTGAAATAAATCCTTCCTCCTTAAAAAAAAAAAAAAAAAAAAAAAAAATTAATACAGCTATGGTCGCAGTCATCAAAAATGTGAAGAACTCTCCTATCCACACGCTGCTTTTCTCCCTCAGTTGCACACTGGGTTTTACTGGCTTTGGGCTAGGGGAGGAGGAGGTGGATCTCCTTAGGAAACCCCCTTAAGGCCTGCTGTTCAGGCCTGCTCTGCCTGTTTAAATCCTAGGGGTGATCAGAGTGGGCCAAGTGCCTCCCTTTGTGAGCCTGAATTCTAGGGAAGGCAGTTAAATCAGCACCGTTGGAATAATTTCATTGTGGGGGAGGCAAAGATAAAAACTATATGACGGGATACTAAATGGGGATGGGGGAGACTCTTGTCATGGGTTCAGCCTGGGGAGGTTCTCCTGAGATTTGTGCAGCCCAACTTGGAGACAGCTGTGGACTGGATTAGACAGCTTTATTCTCAGCTGTGTGCTTGCAGGGAAGTCCCAAGGCCCCTATCCCAAGTGCCAGTCCAGCTCTCTATGGGGGTCCACACAATAGTGGCTATGTGCCAGGAACAACCTTGGTTGTGTGAGTTATTTATGCTGGCTGCCATCAGCCTTGCTTATATCAGTTATTTACACTGAGACCAACAAGGTATGCCTGTGCTGACATCTTGCTGACCTGGATTTAATGTGCACTGCAAATCCCCCACCCCGTCAGCCTG